CTTTAAAACCTTGAAGAATGGTTGACACTTGTTACTGGAGCGCGAGACAAACTAGTTGAGTGCCACTATTCTTCCAGTATGGCGCTGCACTTCCCAGGTTTTTGTGGGAGACTTCATTTCTAAAATGGCTTTTACCTTCTCGGGGTTTGCTTCGATACCTCGGCTACTCACTATGAACCCCAAAAAAATTTCTACCTGAGACTCTGAAGGCACATTTAGTCGGATTCAACTTCATCCTGTATCAGCTTATGTTCTTAAATGACTCCCTGAGATGTTGAACGTGAAACTCAGATTTCAAGGATTTGACCAATATGTTGTCAATATATACCTCCATCATCGATCCAAGCTTCTTGCGAAACATCCGATTAACCAGCCTTTGGTAGGTGGCTCCAGAATTATTTAATCCAAATGGCATGACTTGATAGCTGAAGATTCCCTGCTTCGTAACGAAAGAGGTATTCTCTTTATCATTGGGATCCATTTTGATATAATGTATCCCAAGAAGATGTTCATGAAGCTGAGGAGTTTGTGCTCTGTCGTGGCATCGACTATCAAGTCAATCCTGGGCAGAGGAAAGTTATCTTTGGGGCATGCCTGGTTGATGTCGATAAAGTCAATACATAGCCGCCAATATTCATTCACCTTCTTGACTAGCACCACGTTGGCCAGCCAAGTCGGATAATCGACCTCCCTAATGACCCTTACTTGCAACAGTTTAGTCACCTCTTTTTTTATCGCCTTTTATCTTTCTGGAGCGAAGCTCCTCCTCTTCTGCCAGACCGACTTACAGTTCGGTGGACAATCATTTCTGGATCGATTCCCTCCATATCCTCTTGTTTCCAAGTGAATACATCAACATTTTCTTTCAAGAGCATGGTGAGCTTGTCTTTGATATCTTGGAGCAACATCGAACCTACAAAGACCACATGTTCAAGGTCCTCGTCGATCTAAACTGGCTCCAGTTGCTTTTTTAGGGTTGGTCGGATTTCTAACTTATCTCTCATAACAAGGTCTTCTAACTAAATAGACTTTACTTCTTTTTGCCTCATAGACGCCACATAGCACTCCCTAGCGAGGGTTTGATCTCCTCTCACCACCCCAACCCTGTTCTCCGTGGGAAATTTCATGACTAAGTGGTATGCCAACGAGACGGCTTTAATGGAGTTGAGGGAGGGCCTCTTGAGTAATACATTGTAGGCATAGGGGGCATCCACTACCAAGAAACAGACCATAGTCGTAACTTGGCAGGGGTGGTCCCCTAGGGTGAGGATGAGCTAGATGGATCCAATGGGCAGGAACCTCTCACCCAAGAAGCCTAAAAAATGGGTTCTGATTGGTTCAAGCTTTAACTTGTCAATACCAAATTGATCAAAAGCGGAAAGGAATATGATATCAGTTAAGCTGCCATTGTTAATGAGCACACGATGTATAACCTTGTTTGCAATAATGGTCTTTATAATCAAATGTTCATCATGAGGGTGCTGACATCCCTCCAGGTCGGTGTCTGAGAAGGTTATTTCCACATCCCTGTGCGGGGCTTTCCGAATTGTTTGCACCTTAAGAAAATCATAATATCTTACCCTCCTGGTGTAAGCCCTTCTTGCTAAGCTAGACTCGCCTTCACCTATGAAGTCGCCAGAGATGACCCTGATTTCCCCAAGGCCTATTGGTGCTGTTGTAGGGGTGGCATAACAGCTCGTTCGTCTCTTTCTTGATCATTCATCTCTTTTCCTTCTCCTACCATATAATGTCGTAAATGGCCCCTCTAGATGAGGTATTCTATTTTCTTTCTTTAGCTGAATGCAGCCGTCAGTCTCATGGCTTGTGTCTTTGTGGAAGTTTCAATATTTGGTGGGATCTCGCATTCTGGGATCAGACTTCATCCTTAGTGACCACCTAACAAACCTCTTGTTCTAGATATCATGGAAGACCTGGAAAATGGAGGCATTCAGGGCGTAAGCCGAGCTGGCACATATCTTGGTTGTAGTTCTTGAGGCGAAGTACGAAGGCAGTCTTTGACATTTCCCCTCTATTTCGGGGATGACTCTCTATCTCTTCTGGGAGACCATTCTCTCCATGGTGATCGATCACGTTTCCTTTTTTTTCTATAGCTGTGCTTTCTTTTCTTCTTTTCTTCTTCACCTATAGATGATGATCCTCCTTTTATGTGAAGGGCTTCCTCACCTTTAATGTACTTCTCACCTTTTGCAAGCACCCCGACCATGGTTGCCTGAGGGTTATTGGCAATCAAAACCAGAAGGTCCTTTGATTGGAGGGTGAGTCTCGACATGAAAGTGATCAAGGTGAATTTGTCGTCTATACTCTCTACCTTTAATAATTCCTAGTTAAAATGTTGCATGTAACTCCATAGGGACTCATTGGGTCCCTGTCTGATAAGACAATTTCCTGTAGGTTCTGGCTCCTATGAAATGAGATACGAACTGTATGGGCAATTCTCGAAAGGAAGAGATCGAGGACGGCTGCAGTTTGTTAAATCAAACTATGGCCGACCATTTAAGGGTTATGGCGAAAGCTCGACACTAAATAGGGTCGGAGTATCCGTGAAGCTCCATTTTATTTTTATAAAAGTTCAAGTGATCCACTGGGTCTTTGGTTCCATCGAATGCCTCTATTTGCGGCATCCAAAATTTTTGGGGGAGGAAAAAATGAAGGATTTCAAAGGTGAAGGGTGATTCAGTTTGCTTAACCATGACATCCATAGTGACAAGGGCTTTCACTTTCACTACTTCTTTCACGTTCCCGAGCTCCTATTGGATCTCCCAAAATCTTTGCTCCCAAAAATGGTCCATAGCAACTTGCGAAGGTAGGGCCCGATCTTTTCTGGGTATGGCTCTGGTCCGACTGTGGGCCTCATCATATGTGCGTTCATCTGGCTGCCTTCGTCGGTGATTTTTCCTTGAATGGCTGTGCTCATGGAGGTCTGTAACTCCATTGGGTGGTATATGACAATCCTGAAGAGGAATATCATTTTGGGTTGGGCTGGGGGTGGAGGTGAAGGTGGCACAGGATGTACAGACTGAGCCTGTGGGAGGTGATGGGTCTATATCCACGCCAATAAGTCTTGGTTCTGTTTCATAAGTTGTATAGTGGTTCGGCGATATGTCTCCAACTCGTTGAGAAAAGGGTCTGACGTCAGAGGACAGTTCTCCACATTCGTTGTTAGAGTGGGGAAGCTCTCTGGTAGGTTTTACTGGACTTGGGGGTTTGTGTGGGACTTACTCATAAGGTTTGCATGAGACTTACTGATATTTCGAGTTGAAACCATCAAACTAATAAATGTACAAAGAAAAATTGAAGAAAACGAGAAAAATCGTTCTAACAGATGGCGCCAAGCTGATAGTGCTCGAAAATACTCGGCCCAAGTCCAGAACTATGGATTTGACGTCCAATGATGGGGATAATAGAGATATCTTGATTAACAAGGGAATAAGGGGTGAAGTGGGATCAAAACAGTATATAAATGTTTCACCCTAACCGAAGAACTACATCCACTATAATGTCTTGCTCCTTAAGGCTTGTATTATTTGGAGAAGAAGATTATAGTAGGTTTTCTGAGCTTAGAGTATTTGCTTATAGTGCCTTGTGAATACAAATTTGTTCCCAACCCTCTACATAGTGTAATAGTATTCTATTTATACAAGTAATTCATCTAGGGTTTTTTGTGATTTTCTCCTTCCTCTTGCTAATTCTGTGGTCCCCCTTTCCTTTGTCCTGTAGTGGTATTTGCCTCCTGACATAAATCATGCCCACAATTCTCAAATGGAATGTCCACCAATATTCCATTTGCCAGAGAGCGTATGTGTTCGTTAATGGCTCCAGAAAATATCTCTATGTCCCTTGGACACGTGGCGCGACGGGAGATATTCGAAATTTAAAGAGTACTGAATTCCTCGCTTTAGAGATAGATGTGGCCAAGTAGGAGCATGCCGACCTGGATGCCATTGGACCCTCTTCTTTGGATTGTGATCCATTCTTACTTTGAGGTGGGCAGGCTATGGATGGCCTGTTCGGTTGCCATGTAACTAAAGGGGGCCCATTTGGTGTTCTAAGTTTTTGGATAGGCAGCCCAAACCGAAAACTTACCATTATCAACTTGTGTGTTGGTGTTGCATTTATGTGGACCAGGTAACCTACTATGTACTTGGTAAACTTCCGTAAGATTAAAGCAATAGACATTTTCAAACAACCTAGAAGAGTTGGTTATTTTTTCCAATATTTTTGTATTTACGTCTGTGTATAATCACAATGATGAACATAAGCTATTTCAATGAATAATAATAATATACCTATAAAAAATAAAATAATATTGAAAGAGAGGTGAATTAAAGTGTAAAAAGGAAACACAACAAAATCGTCAAGAGGATTTATTTAAATATTTTTGAATAACTAAATGACAGGGAGAATGCATGTGATGTTTGACATTTTCAATCTTTATTTATTTTCTTAATTGAATGGGTCAATCTCCATTCCGAAGAAGCATTACTATCAAATCAAAATAAATCCAATTACAATGCTTGCGGCACATGACGCAAGGGTTGTCCCGGTCAGGAGTGGTACATCCATGGAACGTAAATAAAGCGAAATTCTTTGCTTGTTTAACATGCGACACCTCGTGGAAGACGTGGTGATACAGAATGAGACCCCACGCACCCCATCCCACACCACACCACACCACCCCACCCCACGCCGCCCCACCCCACACCACACCACTAAATGCTCATAGTCATAGCCATACTATACTACTAGTCTCCGGTCAACCCGTTTCTCATTTTCCTCGTGCCGTTCCTTCAGTCACAGCTTATTCGTGCAGGTGGACCCTATTTCTTCCGTGACTCCTCTATCTACATCTGCCAACCCCCCCCCCCCCCCCCCCCTTGCCTTTTCATTTATTTATTTATTTATACTCGCATTCAATTCTCCTTCGTACTCCTAAAGCTCCCACAAACACACGGCACGAAAACTGAAACTAAAAACTTGGAATGACAATGGCAAGATCGGCAGTGGAACTCGATTTCTTCAGCATGGAGAAAGAGATTCCCGCCAGAGCTCCGGCTGAGAAACTCTTCCACCGTCGCAGAAGCTTTCGAGGTTCGTATTGCTTATTTAAGCATCTCTACATATATATTTGATTTCTCCATCGTTTGTTTTATACAATTTCAATCGAATCTAATTGTATCGTGTGATTGAGCTCTTTTGTAGACATTCAGAGTGTCATTTCTAAGATTAATCCTGAGGTTTTGAAGACTGTCATTGCGTCTGGCTCCGTGAATCAAACCTCCATGGCGAAATTATCGGAGAACGACAGCTTTTCGGTTTCCAACAAGTCGTTTTCGGTTCCCTCCACTCCAAAGGAAGATCAAAGTTTTTTTCCTGTTTTACCAGTCTATACGCCTATCTTCAGGTACTTGGGCATTTCACAGACTTAAAACTTGATGTGGTCATCCAAATTTCTTTGCTAAGTATAGGTATGGTTATTTACGAATTTGTTTTCATCTTTCTGGTTTTCAGGCCTAGTTCTGGATCTGAAAACGGTTCTGAAACAGCTCCTTTGACGATTTTCTACAATGGAACCGTATCCGTTTTTGATGTCCCTCGACATAAGGTTAGTTGATCTGACATTCGTTATTGGAGTATTAATTAGTTTATCTTATTACCTGATATTAATATTTTTTTACCGAGTGTACTCATTATACAAGTTCTTAATAATGGTTTTAGGCGGAGAATATTCTGAAACTTGCTGAGGAAAATGGCTCCAAATCCGTTGAACAACCATATTCGAAACTTGCAGTTCCTTCAAGAGATCAACGACAGCTGTTTGGTACTCTTTATGGAGGTTAGCACCTTTTTTTTCTTTCTAATTTCTGATATTCTCGGCACGGCACACCTTGTTTTTAAATCTGAGAAAGAATTGGTTGCTGTTTTCATGCGCAGATCTGCCAATTTCTAGGAGGAAATCACTGCAGAGGTTTCTGGAGAAGCGGAAAGAGAGGTTAGTTGTTTTTTCTGTTTTCAATTCTGCCTCTCCTCGTTTTTAGGATTAACTTTATCACATCTCAAACACTGATTTTATGAAATTCAAAAACGTGTTCTCTTTCCCTCGGTTTTTTTTTTATTTTCCTATGGTCTGTTTCGTTAGACAGAAAAACTTGATGAAAACTGAAAATGGTAGAAAGTAAACAAAAAAAATAAAAGAAAATATATTTTCATACATGTATTTTGTTAGCATTAAAAACTTGCTAGATAGTTTTAAAAACTTTTCATTCTAGTGTTTGAAATAAATAGTAGTTACAAATTTTTTTTTAATTGTCTAAATTATCTTTAATTATATTAAATCAGTCTAAAAAAAGAAAAAATATATATTATAGTTAAAAAAAAAACAAAGTGGCTCCTAATCTAATTCTAGGACAAGCATCGACACAAAAATCTCTAAGATAAATTATGTAGTTAACCAAATCCATATAATTTTTCAATATTAATGAAAATTAGTATCAGTAATAGAAAATATTTCAATCTTCTCTCATGTTTGTTTGTTCAATAGGTTTTATAGTGGATCCCATAAGTATTCATCTATTCTATCACATCTTCTATAACAAATATATAATTTTATCCTTAATATCATCCATTTCATTACTCCGTTTGTATAACGATTTTGCACAATGTTTGATATAATATATGGTATGACAATCCATACCCAAAAAAATTTCGAATTTAAAAAAAAAAAAAAATTAAAAATGGTGACACTTTACGCTTAAACATAATTTAAGGAAAAAAATTCAAACTAATTTTTTTTAAAAAAAGGTAACACTTGTACGTTTAAACATTAAATGAAAAAATTCAAATAATTTTTTTTTTAAAATTAAAAAATTCGGCGACACCGTATGCTTAAACATAATATAAGAAAAAAATAAAATAATTTTAAAAAAAAAATGGTGACACCATATGCTTAAACATAATACAAAAAAAAATTTATTATATGTGAACTCTATACAAGAGGGTATTTGTGTCATTAATGCCGTGTACAAGGGTTTGACTCTATTGTACAAATCGGGTCGGTATTATGACCCGAAAAATAATTCTGCACATAAAATATCAAATAAATAAGGTAATAGGTGAACCTCATGTACTATTTCTTATTATCCCACCCCATAATACCATTTAAACCCCCAAACAAACATGTCCTACAGGGGAATACCGTACTGACTGCAATTTATATCAGATGCTTTACTAATGTTTGTATTTCCATTCTTAGCACTTTGAATTAAGTAGAACCAAATAATTATTATCCTTTCTACTGCCAACAGAATTAAATGTGTCACAGCTGGACTAAGTCATCTAATATTTCAACTAAAATATATCTCCACTTTGTTAGTGCTGCTCCTATCAATAGAAGATCTAAATTTTCATATTTCAGGTCCATGAAAATTTAAAACACAATTAATATGTTAAGCAGCTATGGCAGTTGTTCTTATCATGTAATCTCCTGTTTTTATGTCATTCGTTGTGTCCTCCGAATACCCAACGAATAGAGCATATATCAGAACTTCATGAGTTAGAAAATATTATCGTAACACATTCTTTTTTTGGTATGCGTGTTGGGTTGCAATTTGTCACCTATAACAAATCTATATATATATATATATATATAGGACTGGTCACTAGACAAACGTTGTTGATATGACCTGTGGTCAATGGGCATTTTTTCATGGCCTTCCTTGTTTGGAGTTAATTGATGCTTGATGATATTGATATAATGAACAGAGAGCAATATAGAGTAGGAAACATGGTTTAGGGTTCAGATCAAGAATTTTAGTGGGAATAGTAAGGCAAAAAGATGCCATGCTGCCCATATTGAATAGACATGGTCCTCATTGCCATTAGCTGTAATGTGGTGTGATTGCAACACCATCTTTATGACAAGTCATAATTGTGTGACGCAGAATCAGGTTGCAAGGGACTGCAAAGAAAGTTGACACACAACGCAGTTCCATAAGCCAAGCGTATTTAGGAAAACAGATTGTTCATGTAGGTGGTAGAATAAAATTTAAAGAAGTCACCTTACCAGGGGTGGGTTAGGTAGCCAATCTGACAATCAGGTTAGCTAATTCAAAATTTTACAATTTCAAACCAATCAATTGTTGAATTCGTGTTTTGCTTTGCAATAGGCTGTCTAAATCTATGTTATACCATATTTGCTTGTCCTGAACGTAGCAATAATGACACGCGTTTTAATTGTTTGCAGGCTGACTCTGGTGACCCCTTATGGATGTCCGGCCGACTACGCATTTTGGGGCGGGAATATGGAGGGATATAAAGATTAGGAGAAGGAAAGGGACATGCACTGGAGAGGAGATGGTGAAGACAATTTCTATCTATCTCTAGAGTAGCGAGGCTGACTTGCAATTACTGCCATCCTCTTTGCCAGATAAACAAATAGATAGGTTCTTTTCTACTGGGAGGGGACCACAAGTGCACGTTTTAGTAGTGATTTTGGGAGGTGCTTCATAAATGGAAGAGGTCGGTGGCTTTTGGCATCTGCCCTCTTTCCTTCCTTGCACTTTCCTTTGTTTTTTATTTGCTTGGACTTGGAGGGTTGGCTTTATTTATATTATTTAATTCATGTACATACCAACCTTTGCTTTATTTAATCGCATGTCTTGTTCTACTTGCTTATGACTTAATTTGTTTCCGCGTGAAGCAAATATAGAAAAGAGTTGGCAAATATTGACCACGTGAATTGAAAACGGGGATTTTGGTTGAAAATTCTAGAATAGAGTTCTCAGCCGCACCAAGCGAATGTTTTTCTCTCTTCGGAGACAAAGTCATCATAGATGTTGGGAAGGAGATAAGAGTCGTGTAGTGAGTGCCCTGTGAAAAAGGGGTTTATAGCTATTGAGGCGTGGTCTCTTTTATAGATCAACTTGAAGGTTTTTAGTTTTTCCATTTTGTTGGGGGAGAAATTTAATTAATTAATAATATGGGTGGATTGTTGAACAAAAAAAAGCTAATTCCCAAAAGAATTACCAATTTTGTAATAGTCATGCGGACAAATTCCAATATTCCTTATTGTTTACATAAATCATTTATGGCCAACCAGAATGGACACAACAACAATAGAATATCTTGAGGGTGTAACGTGTTGTCCTTGATTGGGTGGGCTTATAAACAAGAATAAAACTACCATATTAAGGATAAAAACTTTTAAGTACATAGTACTTAAATACAATTAATATCAAATCAAATATACGTCTCAAAACTGTGGGGACCAATCATAAAATAATATGATGAATTGTACATGTTGGGATTGGATACTATGATCAGTGTTAGAAAATCTCATTTTATGATAACTTCATCTGAAGAGTTGTAAATTTACCGATTTTGTCATAACTTCCAATTTGATGCTTTAACCCTAGTCTCCCCCCAACCCCCCTCACCCCATCTCCGAAACAAATGTGTTAGTTCTCAGTCCTATACGTTATATACGAGCTGCAGTGTGTGTTCGTTCAAATGTGATGGCTTTGGGGCCCTCTAAGACTCCTTACTTTTCTAACATATTGAATGGATTCGTGTATGACTAATAGACTGCCCCTTGTTGTTTTACTTTTGGTATGTGACAAAAAAAAAAAAACACGTTTTACGAAGGAAAAAGTATGTTATTATGTTGACCTATTCCATGAAGCAGATGGTTTCTAGGTTGGTTCCCTGTCTACATCTTGAAAGGAAAGAGTGCATACTCACAACTCAAAATCTGTATTCCCCATGATTTCCACCTTTGGGCAATTGAGAAAATTAGATTTGAAGGAAATTCAAACTTTTCCTTCTTTTTTTCTTGTCTTCTTCAACCCCCCCCCCGGGGAGCCGGTGGGCGCCTTTCCCTCCCTCCCTATAAAACTCATAAACAAGCAACCATATGTCCCGGATCTAGTTGCAGAGCTGTCCAACAAAACTGCAGAAAATACGCTAACTGATTCATTATGTATCAGCAAATCAGAAACTTGGAATTCAACTATTCAAAGCAGAGGAACATTATCAGTCTAAGATATCTCATGTAGATAACCTTGTAATTTAAAAATTAAATCTCCTAAAGAAGAGGATATCTCATGTTGTACTCTAGCTATAGATGCCATGAATGTAAACCAATTGAGTATGCCTTCCACTCAACAGAATAGTCTTTTATTTATTTCTTTCATGGTATCAGAGCCTTAAAGGTTCAAACCACCTATTCAACCTCTGCCATGGCTGAATCCAATATCACACCAGTTCAGTCCACTTTTGTTGTCCCAAACATTTCTCACCTAATTTCTATCAAACTCGATCAGAACAATTATTTGTTATGGGTGTTGGTGTGAGCTGTTAGAATGGAGAAATTATGGGAACCAGTTGTTGTTGGAATGGAGCAATTATAGAAACCAGAGTGGAGCAATTATAGGAACCAGTTTATTTGTAAAATCCCTTACTTCACGGGTCAATCATAATTCTAACCTTAGACAATGTATAGCTTAGAATAGATGCCGAAATTTTCTCCATGTATCTATATATCATTGTATTCGATTCTGAAGATGAATATACGAAAATTAGAAAACTTCCTGTAAACATGGTATCAGAGTGTGGTTCGAAAAACTCTGCTCTACTCTCCCCTTGATCAAGAAACACCCTAGACCTCATGGAATCCATGGAGGATTCATCTGAGATAGTGCAGCACCATAACTCCCTGGCCGAATCCATTCTTAACGATCTGACGAACAAGATGACAAAACTTTTGACCAAATCCCAGACATCACCACACCCACCACTTGCAGATTCTTCAATTGCTTCAATCGGCATTAAGTTGGATGGCTCTAACTATGCCTTGTGATCCCCGGTTGTTGAGATGTATATCTCTGACAAAGGCAAGTTGGGATATATCAATAGAGACTCTCCCCAGCCTCCAAAAACTGATCCATCTTTTTGGTGATGGCGAACCGAGAACGCCATTGTCAAAGGAAGGCTGATCAACTCGATGGATTCGTCCTTGATCACAAACTTCATTCACTTCCCGACTGCAAAATAGGTATGGGATTCTGCTGCTACAACTTATTTTGATGGGACTGATACTTCTCAAGTTTATTATCTCCGGCGTCGTGTGACACGCATGAGACAAGCCAGTGGATCCATTGAAAAATATTACAACGACCTTCAAGGATTATGGCAAGAAATCAATTTTTGTCGTCCCAATCCTATGATCTGCCCTGAGTTTTTATATCTTTCTTGATGGATTGGACGATCAACTGGACAAGATTCAAAGTGATGTGCTACAGCTAAAACCATTTCCTGTAGTTAAGTAGGCCTATGCTCTTGTCCAACCGGAAGATGTCTGACAGGCCGTGATGACCACAGGTGCAGATTCCAGTCCTGGTGATGTTATGGCATCTAAAGGAATCAAGACGAGCCAATCGAACACAGTCAAAAACGGGGTCACTTTCTCTGAGAAATGGAAAGTTGAACCAACCTCCAAGTCTAAAACGGGCCAATCTGGTGGTGGGAAATGCACTTAATGCGGCAACACCCATATCGATGAAACTTGCTTCAAGTTACATGGGTACCTAGACTGGTGGAATGAATTTCAGGCACGAAAAAAGCGTGAGACTACAACCACTGATGAAGGCACAGGTAGAGCTGCCATGGTCACTACTGAACCCCAGTTATCTCTCATCTCCCAAAAAGAATATCAGAATGATTCTACATCTCTCAATGATCAAGGTAATTATGGTCAGGCATTTTTTAACCCTAATCACTGGGATGATGGTGTCTAGATTATCGACTCTGGGACTACCGATCACTTGACGTTTGATTCCAATGATTTCTCTCATATTACTCCACCAAGACGAAGTTGTATTGCTAATGTTAATGGAGTCACATATCCTGTTATAGGGGATGGAACTATGACCCTATCCCATTCTCTCTCGTTATTTCATACTTTACTAGTTCCATCTTTCGCCAATAAATTAATGTCTGCCAGCCAAGTTACTGCAGATCTCGATTGTGTGGTACTAATATATCCTATCTTTTGTCTTCTATAGGATAATCTCACCAAGGAGATCATTGAGAGTGGCACTAAGATGGAGGGATTATACTTCATGGATGAATTTAGTCTAGTAAGATCCAATCACATACATCACACGGTCAGTAGCAAGGAGAGGTAGATTTGGCTGTTACATCAACGCTTGGGACATCCATCATTTGGTTATTTAAGGCACTTATTTCCGGACCTTTTTTCCAATTTAAAGCACTCAGACTTTACAAGTGATACTTGCATTGTAGCCAAAAGTCATATAGTTCCTTATTCTGTGAGCATGAATAAGAGTGCTACTCCCTTTGCTTTAATACATTCTGATGTGTGGGGACCTTCCTCTATTACTACTTTGTCTGGTTATCGATGGTTTGTGATATTTGTCAATGATTGCATTCGAATGACATGGCTTTATTTGCTAAAACACAAAGATGAAGGTTTTAGTGCTTCTCAATCCTTCCATATAATGGTTTAGACACAATTTTCAGCTAAGATTCAGATCCTTTGTTCTGGCAACGATAAAGAATACGTAAACCAGTGATTTCAGACATACTTCTAGAACCATGGTCTTCTCTATGAAACCTCATGTTCTCAAACTCCACAAAAAAATGACATTGCCAAAAGGAAGAATTGGCATATCATAGAAACTACACGAGCTTTGTTGATTGGGCACATATGCCTAGTCGCCACTGGGACGATGTTCTCGCCACTACTGTGTACTTGCTGAATCGCACGCCTACAAAAGTCTTAAATTTTAAGACTCCCTTACAGGTTCTTTCTAACCATGTTCCCTTGCCTACAGTTTTAATGATTCCTCCCCAAATCTTTGGCTATTTTGCCTTCATTCACCTTCATAAGAATCAACGTACTAAGTTGGATCCATGCACGATCCGCTGTCTATTTTTGGGTTACGCCTTACATAAAAAGAGTTACCAATGCTACGACCCCATCACCAAACATACCTACATCACTATGGATGTTACTTTTCTAGAGTCCAAAACTTTTTTTTCATTATTAGCATCCAATTCTCCTCCTCAGGGGGAGATCCGAGATGAAGAGCAGAAGAAATTTGAAAATTACAAGACGAGATTTGAAGGTAACTCAAACCCAACCCAACTGAATGATGGAAACGAAGTGATAGAATATAATGTTAAAACTTCTTTAGGAGTTGATATGTCTCCAAGAGCTCCAAGAGCCGAACCTATTCCATTGGCATCTAAAGATGAACCTACTCCTGAGAATATTCCTGAGGTAAGCTCTCCTACTAAACCT